TCTGTAAACATTCATGTGCGTATATTCTTGGGTAGGGGTGTTTTTACATCTACTGGAATAACTGCCCCCAATGGGTTTGCTGAGTCAATGGTGGCACTTTAAACTTTAAAAAGCATCGCCAGATTATTTTTCCTGGAGGTTTCAGTGGTTTGTACTTCTGCCAGCAAGGTATGAAGGCGTTCATCCTCCTACATTCTCTCAAGCACAAGATGTTACTGGTGGTGTTAATTTTTGCCAATCTGACAAATAAATCATTAAATTTGATAAAATAAAATCATTAAATTTGAACTTCCTTTTGACCAATCCTTTTCAGCTCCACTTTAATCTTTATTTTCTCTTCTGTGAATTGCCTGTTCATGTTTTCCCCTACATTCCTATTGCCTTTTGCCATTTTATTACCAGTTGTTTTTTTTTTTTTTAATTTTTTTTTTCAACGTTTATTTATTTTTGGGACAGAGAGAGACAGAGCATGAACGGGGGAGGGGCAGAGAGAGAGGGAGACACGGAATCGGAAACAGGCTCCAGGCTCTGAGCCATCAGCCCAGAGCCTGACGCGGGGCTCGAACTCACGGACCGTGAGATCGTGACCTGGTTGAAGTCGGACGCTTAACCGACTGCGCCACCCAGGCGCCCCCATTTTATTACCAGTTTATATGAGCTTTGGGTAAATTAAGGATAACGTCTTCTCATATGTGCAGCCCAGGTTTATCTGCATCTATAGTTTGTCATTTGACTTTCCTTATGGTGTTTTTTTTTCCTTAAAATTTGAAAAAAAAAATATGTAGGCATGTGTCCTTTTTTCTCTCCCTTCAGTTTTGGGGATTTCTACAATTGTTAAAAATATCCCAAATCCTGGATGGTTGCACGAAGGAGCGCCAAGTCACTCACACAGCCTCAGTCCCTGCAGGCACCCTTGCAAGCAGCCCCACATGCCAGTTCCTGCCCACCAGACTACTTGGATGTACCTCAGAACTTTGGACCTTGGCTGCTTTTCTCTCCTGTCCCTCAGGTTCCAGGGATCACTTCACCCAGCTTGTAGGGGCAGCCTGACCCTGCTCTCCCCTGGCAGCTTCGTCCCATGCAAGTGGGGCTGCCTGCTTGGGGCTTTTTCCTTCCCTTCAGGTTCCTGCCAGCTCTAGGCACAAAGGCATAGGGGACCAAACTCCTGCACGGCTAACTCCCTGCTGCTGTAGCTGCCCAGGACATGCTACTTTCCAGCACAAATGCTCTCCTCCCAGCAGATGTTTCCCTGTTTTGCAGACCACCCTTTGATTTCTTCCTGGGGCACCACCCCTGACCCCCCGCCCGGCCCTCCCAGGCACCATCATTCCGGCCGCCTCCTCATAGGCATTGCTGATGGTAGCAGGAGGGTAATAAAATCAGAAACATGGTATTACGGGTTGAACCATGTCCCCTAAAAATTCCCACCTTAAAGTCTAACCCCCAGTACCTGAGAATGTAACTTTATTTGGAATTGGGGTGATGGCAGCTGTAACTGTCATAAGCGTGGACCCTCATCCAATAGGACTGGCATCCTTATAAAAGGGGAAATTTTAGACACAGAGGCACACACACGGGGAGAACGCCATGTGAAGATGAGAGCAGAGATTGGGGTGGTCCTGCTAAAAGCCAAGGAATGCCAGAGACTGCCAGCAAACCTCCAGACGCTAGGAGAGAGGCTTGGAACGGATTGTCCCTCCCAGCCCTCGAAGGAATCAGCCCTGCTGACAGCGTGACCAGGGACTTCTAGCCTCCAGAACTGTTAGGCAACAAACTTCTGTTCCTCGAGCCACCTATTCTGTGGGGCTTTGTGACAGCAGCCCTAGAAAACGAAGAATGCACAGCTGACACAGCCGAAGGCAGGCTGCCTCCCCTCTCTGGTCTTTGCTGGGGTCGGATCACAGCAAGCTCCAAAATGCATTTGGGGCCACAGTGATTCTGGCCCGTAGAGTCTTGGCTCTCACCCGGGGTGGAAGCCCCTCAGGCTGTCCATTGCTACCCTCCTCCTGGACCCCTCCAGAGGCAGGCTGAAGGCTGCGACTTCACAGTAGGGAGTGGAGTTCAAGAGGGGAGTGTTTTGCCTAAGCTTCAGGAGTTCAGCAGGAAACAAGGAGTTAACCACAGCTCCGAAAACTACCCAAGCATGGCATGCTGAGGTTTCTGTGACTTATCCTCTGGTGCCTTCCCACTGTCTCTCTGACTCTCTTGCACAGGATCCTCACTCTGAACTGTGTGCAGATAATCTGTGGTCATTAGGACTGTGTCCAGTCATTCCTCCCGCCACCCCAGGGCCTAGCCCATGGCCTGCCTCAAGTGGATGGTTGCATGGATGGATGGATGGATGGACGGACAGACTGACAAATGGATGGACAAACATTCAAGGGGATTCTTTGAGCTAAACTTTCTGTGGTACATGATTCAACAAAGCAGCTGTGAAGTCATTACCTCAAGGAGCTTCTGGGAACTGAGTAAGCCATTGAGTCCCTGTGGATCCCTATTCTTGCCACATGGACCCTGCATTCTTTCTCATTCTCTCTGGACTGAAAATTTCCCAAGTGCTAACCACCACAGCAAGGCTTCCAAGTTCCCTTCTATTAGTGCTCCCTCCTGGCAGCTCTTTACAATACTTCACACAAAGGAGGTTTAAATAGCCTCTGGCAATCTCCCTGGAATTCACAGCCAGCCCCCCAACCCAAAAATCTACCAAAAGCTTCAGACAAAACCTAAGAGGAAACTGCATTTAAAAATGGATCTCTTTCCCTGGCACCTGAACAGCTTCTTTTTAGAAGGCACAAGATCATTTTGAAACAACTGTCCCAGGGAAGATGTGAAGAAGCAAAACAAAATAAAACCCTGAGGCCTATGTGTCATTGTATTCCAGAAACTTCCACAGGTGGGAACGGCGCTGAGGAGGGTGGCTGCCAGAGGGCCAGGGAGAGACTGCGAGAGACTCTGGGGACTTGAGAACTGGAAAGGGCCAGAACAGAGTGCCCTGAGCTTGGCCCGACTTGGCTTTTAAAGAGAACCCCACCACTCATTAGCCAGCCCTAAAACCTGCTAAGTGAAAAAGAAAAATAAATGAGCTCATTAAATCCAGAAGGAAGGAAGACCTGGAGGCTTAACCAAGGAAATTCCCAACACCCAGTTAGAAAAACAAAGGGGTGTTGGGCACAATTAGATTCAAAGCCAGGAAGAGGGGCTGGCCCCCAAATGAGGGGGGTGAGTCATTCTGTACTACCCTGTAGGGCTGGAAACAGGCGCCTGAAGGGGGAAGCAGTGCTCAGAGTGTGGCTGGCTGGGATGGTCCCTGTGGTTTACCAATTCAAGTGGTCCAGGTCTGGCCAAACTGGTGGGGAAGTCAGTTGGGAAACACAGGGGGAAGTTCCAGGAGCATGACGAGTTCAACCCATCCTGCGGTAACTGTCTATGACAAACACAGCCTCAGGTTTGGCTTACGAAGGCTGTTCATCACTTCATCCTTTCCTCCCCGTTCATCACCCGCTTACCGAGGACTGACCATCTACATGCAGACACTGCATCACATGCACCTTCATACCTGCCTTGCGCTTGCTCCCACTCTGCTCTCTAGGTTCCTTGCTCCTGGCCCCAGCTTCACCCCCTGACCATGGCCCCCTTTTGAGGGAGATGCCTTCCGATCTCCTTGTTCTTGAGTGGTTGGGGCTCTGATCATTCCTGGCGTCTGCTTTGGTCTTGAGTAAAAGAGAATTCCCCTCCTACCAGCCTCTGGGCCTAAACAAACAATGAATAATGCCTTGAATAATGTCTGTTGCACTGGGGCCTCGACAAGAACAATGGGAACACAGATGAGAGAGTGCCTAGCTCCACCTGTGTGTTAGGGGAGCCCTGGGGAAAGAAAGCCTTCTGCGGAGGAGACAAACCTTCCCCAAGTGGAGCAGCGTAGAGGGTGAAAGTAACTCCAAGGAGAGGAGCAGTGGGAGCAAGGACTCAGAGGTGTGAAAGAGGATGCCAGATTAACAAGAACCCGTATGCCACCAAGAAAAAGAAGTGGTCATGTTCATTCTGTGTCCTTTGCTCCCACCCACTCTTTCTGCCAGGGACTGTAAGTCAGAATGATTTTCATGGCTGACTCATAGGAAAGCTATCATTTGTCTAAAACTGAAATTTCATAAGGAACCCTGAAATATGGCAAGATCCACACCCAATTATATTCTCCTTGCCATCCTCTTCCAAAGTAGACACCATTCCCAAGAGGCAGCGTAGCATTATGGGACAAGGATGAGTTGTAGGGTCCTAAGATCTGGGTTTGAATCCCAACTCCACTAATAACGAGCTGTGTGACACTGGACTGGTTACTTAACTTCTCTGAGCCACTTTCCTCATCTGTAAAAGGGGGGTAATAAATACCTACCAAATAGCCTGGTCAGGAGGATTAGAAATAACATATGCAAAGTATGTCACCCCCACCCACCCCAGATGCTTTGAGTATAGCCCATGTTCAAAGATGGCAGCCAGTGTTATCCTGGATACTGGGATGTATCATCCCACCCTGGGAGGCCTCTGCTCCCTCGGGTGCCTGGCTCCTATTGAGTAAAGGTAAGGGGTGGTTTAGTCACTGGTGTGATATCCAGCACTCTGTGACTTCTCTGAAAACAACAACAACAACAGAAACCACTGGGTTCCCCACTCTGCATCTGAATGGAGTCTACCCTTTGCTCTTGCAAGCTTAAAAAACTAATTGCCATGCATGAGCAAGCCCTTGGAATCTAAAGTCACTTCCTTAAGTCGGAGAGGTTGTACCTCTGCACCCTTTTCAAATGTGCTCCCAGAGGTCTGCTCTGAAGGTCAGGGCCACAGTGTTCTAGATTTTAAAGCATGTTAGACACAGTTTTACTTTGAGGCAGAGTGACTTACAAGAGGGGTGCCTGCGAGAGATTAAAAGATTACACTTGTCGTCCCCTGCTTTGGTGGGAAAAGTACCAACTTCTCTTTTGGCCTGTAGACTCAGACAAAACCAGCGTGGTGGCCTTCATGGGCTGTTGAGCAGAGGTGGAGGAGAGCAGCAGGGAAGAGATAGGGCATCCTGGACTCCCCTCACGAGTCACCGAGGGTAATTTTCTCAGAAGTCTAGATGGATGCCAGTAAGCCCTCTGTCCAGACAGGGGAGGTGATAGAGCTCGCTTTGTGTTTCCAGTTGAAAACAAAGGCTCGTTAGGATTCGCGGCAGCCTGTGCTGCCCTGGGGCTCCAGGGACCAGCTGGCACCTGGACGGCGGCTGTGAAAAAACACTGGAGGCAGAACTCAGCTGAGCTGCAACCTCGTGAGCTCAAGTGGGGGTCACCCCTAGCTGAGGTTACCGCTGAGGGAATGGGGTCATCCGCCCCGGGAGAACCTGAGCGGCTGCGCGGGGACGCGGACAAAAGCCGCTTTGTGGAGGCGGCGAGTCCTTCAACGGCGCCACCGTGTGGCAGCGCCGGGAAGCGGCGGCGGCGGCGGGCGCCGCGGATTCTGAGGCCGTCTCTCGCACGCCCTGACCTTCTCCCACCTTCTCTGACAGGTGAGGGGGCTGACCTCAAGGAGATGCCCGTTTTCTGCTCAGTAAGTGGAGGTTACTTGCCATGTGTTGGAAAACGAAAGAGATGTGCCCGCTTTTGCACAGCAAGTTTGTGGGCAGTCCTACCCACTTCCATACTCAGTTGAATTTAGTCCCAGCCGATAGCCTCACCTGAAAATTGATGACTCAAAGGCCATTAAAGTGAATGAATAAGGACTGCTTAGATGTTAGTTAGGCTGTCCCGTCCCCGGGTGGTTCCGGGTTCCTGATTCTCAGAACAGACATTTTGTGAGCGAGGGGGGCGAGAGCAGAGGAGCAGTGAACTGAGAGTGTCTGAACTTGACACTCCACCTGCCAGCGTTTTCAGCTACACTGTAACAGAGCTGGCAGATGGGACTTTTCCTGTCGTAGTCTCACCGGGCACCGCAGAGTTGGGTGTGAGCCAGCTCCCCGTATCTACAATTCAGAGGACATCTCCTGGAGCAGGTTCTGTGATCCCCGAGCCCTGTCCCCTAACTGGGAACACAGAAGGGTCTGTGCAGTGCCTGGAGAGGAGGGGAGGAGCTGTGAAAAGATTTCTCTGGAGGGCACTGTAGCCAAGGGCGCATTTCCGTCTTCGAGGAGTGTTGGGGGGAGGCTTCCTCCCCTCCAGCCTGAGGAGGGGCCTTCCCGGACTGCAGCAGGACATCCCAGTGCGCTGTGTTCCCACAGGGGCAGGGGTGGGGGCTGCAGGGGTGGGGGCTGCAGGGGTGGGGGCTGCAGGGGGGGGGGCTGCGGGGGGGGGGGCCGGGGCCGTGCAAGAGGTGCTCTGATTGCTGAGGCGCCCAGGGCAGCAGCACAGGACAGAAGAGGCTGCAAGTGACAGCTGCTGTCCCGGGACTCATCAGTGAGGATCTGCGAGGGCTTCCCAGACTTGGAAGAACCCGGCCAGGGAGGTTTTTAAACTCTGCCAGCGAGCAGATCTGGGAGGCCGAGGGGACCCCAGCAGTGAGATTCCATGCGCGGTGGGCCACCCACCAGCCAGGGGCGCAGGAGAACATCAAAAGAGACGGAACACACTGCCCAAGTCACGGGGGCTGTGGTCCGAGGGAGATGCAGAGGGTCTTTGAAGAGTCCCTGCAGGTGGCACAAGGGGGAAGATTCCGCTTCAGGTACCTGCCTCCTGAGGAGGATCCCTCAGACACAGTCCCACCACCAGAGACCCTAATTACCTCACCACCACCACCAACCCCCCCCCCCCCCCCGATTGCCAACCTTCATTAGCAAGTCGTGGGGACAGAAACCGAGAAAGTTAGAAGCTGACCACCTGCCTCTTAGACAGCAGGTTTTCACCAACCTCCTGCTATAGCTAGGAGGAGGGAGCAAGATTAAATGCTAATTTCTATCCTGATTTTTTTTATTATTATTACACAAATCAGCCTTTCTAATTATTTGAGTGAGACTGTTCACAACTGAAGTGATTGCAAGACTGTTATGGTCCGAGTGAGAGTGGAAAAGTCAAGGGTCCCAGGCAAATTTTAAAAGGTGGTAGAGCAAAAATAAACATATATTTTGATTATGTCCCACTTGGGTTTGTTCAACATAGAAGTTGCAATATATGCAACACATCATTGCCGGGCACTCCGTCTGCATCACTCCCTGCTGAGGAGCTAAATCTTCTAGCCTCCAGAGCCTGCTAGAGAAAGTTTAGTGCCTCCACTGTGACCCTTAGTGGGAACAGGAAGTAGCCCACACGCTGGGGATCACGGCAGACTGGGTGCTCTTGAGTTCAGAGATCTGAGGTGCTCCCTCTCTCTCTCTTCCTCTCTTCATTGAGGACTCCATGGTGACGGCCTGCCCCATGAGGCTCTGCCCAGCTCTTAGAGGGCACCACTCTCCAGGGGCTGCCCCAAACCTGGTGATGCTCTTCAGGGCCTGGGGAGGAGGCTGAAGAGGCAGTTCTGGGCCTGAACTTCCCTGATTCTCCCTGTCACAGCGGTTCTCAGCTCTCTCTCTCTGCCCCATCGCCATCCCCAAACCATCTGCGAGGTACCAACTCTTCCCCCAATGACTCATATCCCACCTCTGCCCCTGAGCAGCCCCCCACCCAACATCCAGTCTTCTCAGGACTGCAACCTGCCTCCACAGTCATCTCCCTGTTGCTGTCGTGTTTCCAGGGACAGACCAATCAACAGTAACCATCGTCTGCAATCCCTTTCCCTTCCTCCTCACATCCTGTCCCTGCCTAGAAGTGGGACAATGTTGTGATCCTCGTTTTACAGGTGACGGAGGCCCATCACGGTAGGCCGTGACGTGGGTACTGAGTAGCGGTGTCAGAACTAGAAGGGATGTCTCTGGTAGAGACTCTTGGGGGAAGTGGCCTTTGAGCTGAAACTTAACGAATGAATCAGAGTTAGCCAGATGAAGAGGAAGATGGGATTGGGAAGGCCATTTCAGGGTGGAGTATGCTTGCAGGCAAGGAACCAAGAAAGATCATGAGTGATCACATACTGTAATTTCTTCACTAAGTCCTTTGATGCCTCCTCACTGGGTGTGGCAGAAAGGCTGAGTCTGTCTCTGTAGAAAGCCCTGTTCGCTCTCCAGCCTTGGCTGCACCTCCAGCAGACTCCCAGCACTCCGGGTGCCATGTACTTCTCTCTGTGTACTTCTCATGATTTCACCCTTGGTGCCTTTGCACAAGCATCTCCCCCTTGCTTCCTGGCAAGATTCTGCTCAAACGTCAGCTGCTCTGTAAAGCTCTTTGACCTCCATCGACACCGTTGTACTTGCTTCCCTCAGACCTACACACACGGCCCTCACATGCACATTTGTAGATTTGCCATTGGCCCAGGGACTGTGCAAAAGGTCTTCACAGGTAAGGTCTGTGTGTTTCCATATGTATCCCCAGTGCCTGCAATACATCTGGCACAAAGTTGGTAATCAAGCAACTGGGAGAGGGTGAAGAAAAGGGGAAGAGGGGGAAGAAGTAGCCAAGGTGTGTTGATTTCAAGGTCACACCATTGGGAGTCTTTAAAGTACTCATGTCTATGTTGGAGCTCAGAAAATCTTGTAAGGCTTCATTAGAATATAAGCACACCACACTTTTGTAGACACAAATTTCATTTTCAAAACAAGATAAAGTGACATCGGAATATTTTTGTTTCTTTTTTAAAACGGGGTTATATTCCATTTCAGGTTCTACTCCCATAACGAACTCATCCTCAGGAAGATCACCAGTCTGGTGCCTTCACACACCCACCTGTTCCCAGGGGCCACTTCAGCCCGGCTCTGAGATTTCACTGCATACAACCCACGTCTACATTTAAGGTTTCAAAGGGTACTTCTGCTTATTTGTTCTTCTTGCAAAATACCCAGATTAGTTTTCAAAATCTCAGTTAAATCTAAGGCAAATAACTTATAAGAAAGGCAAGGGTGGGTCACTGAGTAATTATTACTTGATTTGTCCCCAGCTTGCTTGTATCTCGGCCCCATTCTCCAGCTCAGCTTGGCATAGCTTCTGAGTTGTTCGGTAAATGGCCCTAATGTCCACCAGCAGGGTAGCAGCCAAATGAATTGTGGTGCAACTATGAGATTTAACCCTCGGCAAACGTTAAGAATGTGATGAATGTGCATGTGTGTTGACACAGGAGAATGTTCCTGACTTCTCGTTGGGTTGATATATACACTGTTCTTTATGCAGACAAAAAGGATCTGAAATATGTAAACCAAAATATTTATTATTTGTGTTTCTGTAATTTTCAGAATTTTAATAATGAACTCAAATTGTGAAATAATAATAATTATAAAAATTTAAACTTAATGATCAAAGTAAAAAGATTAAATGTATATTATAGTTTATGCTGGGTCCCATGTGTCTTACAAGGTATTATATTACAGGGGAGGTTTTACTCCCCAGGCCTTTCAGGAGGCCTATATTCCCCAGATGTTGTCATCTGGCAAGGTGCTACTCCTATTTCAAGACTGAGTTCAGTTGCTCCACTTCTGGGGACTCTTCCTGGGGACTGTATAAGACTCTTCCATGTCTGTATAAGTGCCATTTCTGACCATTCCCCCAGGCCACTGGGCCAGCTCTTACCCCAGCAACCATTACATGTAATGGTTTTCTCATAGCACTCCCTGAGCCCTTGTGAGGGGATTATTCAGCTCCTTGTCCCTGGGTCTACTTGGCACAGTGAATAATGGATGACCCAGGGGCACCTGGGTGGCTCAGTCAGTTAAGCACCCAACTCTTGATTTTGGCTCAGGTCATGATCCCAGGGTTGTGGGACTGAGCCCTGTCTCAGACTCTGTGCTGAGCATGGAGCCTGGTTGAGATTCTCTCCCCACCCCCCTTCTCTCTCAAAAAAAAAAAAAACACACACACACAAAAAAACCAGACAACCCAATACATTATTGATGTGTGATGTTGAGCATGTCATTGATTTTCTATAAATCTCAGTGTCCTCATCATTAAAATGGGGATCAATGTGCCCATCGCACATTGGTAAGGATTAAAGCAATGCTTTGTGCACTGAAAAGCATGGCAGAGCTCAGTGGGCCTCACAAGGAGGGCATATTTGACAATCAGAACCCGGAGTCCACACCACAACCCATGCTGCGGGCTGTTGGCTAGTGAGACAGTTCCATTAAAAAAATCACTTTCTGCAAGCAGTGAAGGGGAGTTTGTCTATGTGTTTTTGTTTTGTTGTGTTAAGTGAGAATATGGTGGTCCTGTAGCCTCCAGCCCTCTTGCAAGCTCTCCACCAGAGGGCAGTCTAAACAGAGCCAAAACGTAGGCCTTCCAGAGCCTGGAAGGACATGGTTTGCAGAACCAGGATCTTCCCATAGCTAGAGTATGGTTTTGAGCAACACAACTATTTTCTTTTTGTTATTTTGAATGGAAAGTCTTCTAACCTGTGTCACAACTCAACACAACACTATAGGCAGACTTTTATAACCATTTCATGTCATTATGCTTGCTATGTTTTCTTTTAGGTATTAACATCATGTACAAATAGTAATGATAGTTAACACTGATTTGGGCCTTACTGTGTTGCAGACACCATTCTGCATATTGTGCATGTATTTGCTCATCATGTCTTCAGAGCAGTTATAGGAGATGGGTGCTATTACTATCCCCATTTTTCATATGAGGAAACTGAGACCCAAAGTCACAAGGCACAGCATATGAACCCTAGTACTGTGGCTCTGGAGCCCACATGCTGGGCACTATACTACAGCTGTCCAGCAACACTCCACAAAAGGCACAGGATGGAGAGAAGAGGTGGGTGTGGACTGTGCATCCATTTCTTATTCCATTATGAAATGAACACATACGTAGTTTTTTTAAAAACTCATTTTTTAAGTTTTAATTTGTAATGTTTATTTTTGAGAGAGAGAGAGAGACAGAATGTGAATGGGGGAGGAGCAGAGAGAGAGAGGGAGACACAGAATGGGAAAAGACGTTTGCAAATGACGTATCAGTTAAAGGGTTAGTATCCAAAATCTATAAAGAACTTATCAAACTCAACACCCAGTGAACAAATAATCCAGTGAAGAAATGGGCAGAAGACATGAATAGACACTTTTCCAAAGAAGACATCCAGATGGCTAACAGACATATGAAAAGATGCTCAACATTGCTCATCATCAGGGAAATACAAATCAAAGCCACAATGAGATGCCACATCATAGCTGTCAGAATGGCTAAAATGAACAATCAGGAGACAACAGATGTTGGCGGGAATGTGGAGAAAGGGAAGCACTTCCGCACTGCTGGTGAGAGTGCAAACTGGTGCAGCCACTCTGGAGAATAGTATAGAGGTTCCCCACAAAATTAAAAATAGAGCTACCCCACAAATCAGCAATTGTACTACTAGGTATTTATCCAAAGGAAACAAAAATGCTGATTCAAAGGGGCACATACACCCCAATGTTTATAGCAGCACTATCAACAATAGCCGAATTATGGAAAGAGCCCAAATGTCCATTGACTGATGAACAGATAAAGAAGATGTAATATATATACAATGGAATATTGCTTGGCAATCAAAAAGAATGAAATCTTGCCATTTGCAACAACATGCTAAGCAAAATAACTCAGAGAAAGATAAAAATCATATGATTTCACTTATATTTGGAATTTAAGAAATAAAACAGATGAGCATGGGTGAAGGGAAGGAAAAATAAGATAAAAACAGAGAAGGAGGCAAATCATAAAGGACTCTTAAATACGGAGAACAAACAG